GACCAGTAATAAGTAAAATATATAAATATAATAAAAGTGAGGAGTCTGGATTTATATATTTTTTTGCACTGCACAAACATTGCTGTGTATCCTATTATCAGAATAATTTTTATTGACCTTATATTGACCCTGCATTTCTTCCACATTATTTTATTAAACAGTCATTTGCTTCATATCAATTGTAGGAATTGCAAAATTGATACCAAGCCTAACATCTATTAAAATGCATAAAATTCCCATACTTACGCTGAATTTAAACCACAGTAAGTCAAAATAGCAGAAAATTACTCTAAATAAGGCTACTCACTGAAGCTCTGTCACACACACATTCCCCCACATTATCTGAATAAATGGCTTAAATGTTTGGTACAGTCTCTATCCTCTATCCAGCAGCAAGCCTTAATACTTCAGAATATGATCCTGCATAGTAGAGAGATCTTTTCACATGCTTTTGATAGCACTTTGCATTTTCAGATATATTAGGCTGAAAGTCTTAAAGCTGCAATGTGTAACTTTTCTGATAAAGGGTCTATCACCTGCTTGTCTCATGGAGATGTTTTTGCTTTGCTCAGAATGTCCCACTGTATGGCATTAAAGTCATCTATCTTGCATTGGTTTAATTAAGAGCGTTTTATTGCTCAAAAAAACCTTGAAAAGCATCTGCATTTCAATTATTGATTTAATTAAACTGTTGGATTTTGTGACCAAATTATTCAAATAATTCACATCCAAATCTTATGGCTAAAAACAAAAACTTATGTTTAACTTTTGCAAAACAAAACAGCTATATTTCAGGGATACGTCTAAAATAGGCTAAATTACCTTAAAGTTTAAAAAAAAAACGGTGATGAGATATGTATTATTAAATATAATTATCATTGTTTACAGCGCCACATACAGGTGTGGCATGTGTATTACATCGTTTTCACTCAGCGCTCCGTTGTTGTCCGGACGTGAATATTTATTGATCTGACACAATTTTTTTCAGCCCATAAAAGAAAAAAATCCAGGAGTGTTGTCATGTGGATGTAGCCTCTGCACAGATCTGAATTGTACAGTAACTTGGTCTGGTGGAATACACATATCACATTGTCTTGTCTAATGCCTTACTGTGGAACATTTCGATGAAGTCAAGCATATTACCCACATTTAAACCACGCCCCGTCCTGCTGACTATATGCTCTGATGACGTATGGGTGTTTCTCAGGATCTTGTTATTGTTCGTGAAAGTATGTGAGGAATGCAAGTGTGTGTGAACTGAGCTGTAGACACTCAACAATAGATTTAAGATTTAGATGAAGACAGGGCTCACTCTGCCAGAAACTATAAAAATATCACTCAAATCAGACTTGATGTACTTATAATCCTATGTCCTGTCAATCATCATATCATTTTCATACAGTTTTTCAGATATACTAGCATTACTGCATTTCTATATTTTATTTTACTTGTACATTTATATAATTTGTGCCTTAATTGACACCACTCTCTTGGTGTTTTTTTTTACTTACTTGGAATTTATTATTATCATTCATATTTTTTACTGCTTGTTATTATAATAATATATTGTGATGTGTGTGCTACTAATTTTCCCTTGTGGATCAACACAGTTTGTCTAAGTCTAGTCAACTAAGTTTGTTGACCAAATTTTGTATTAGTTGACTAGTTATTATAGCAGGATTATAAAGACTTATGTAGACAACAGGAGAAAGGAAAAGGTATGGAAAAGGAGTGAGTGAGCTGGAGTTGTTCAGTTTAATCTTCTGTTAACTTTTCTGAATGTTGTTGTTTTTATGCAAGATCCTATATTATTAACTTTGTAAGCTTTTATTCTGCTACAGCCCAGTAGTAAGTAAGTTATTTAGTGGTAATGTTAGAATGATTTGGCATTTAGTATCACTTGTAGTATAGTTGTAATACATGATAGTATAAATGTTAGTCCTACTCTCTGAACAGAATTATAGAGACGGACAAAGGTCAGCCACTATCAAATGTATTTATTTTTTATATAGAAACTTCAGAGCTGCTGTTGTGTCCTTGGGCAAGACATTTCATCTACCTGGCCTTATAGTGTTGTACAGGTGTATTAAGGTTTATGGGGTGGGGTTGGTTAGAAAGGTTCTAACTAGGGGTGTGCAAAAATATTGAAATATCGATTTATCGTATTGTTTAATGTGATGATACAGTATCGTGCACTGCTGTACTGATATATCACCAAGCGTATTTTTTGGTAAATTTTATTAAATTATTTTATTACAGAGCTACAGTTTGTTGTTTGTTTAGTGGATGGAAACCTTTCTATGTGACACATTTGACATTTTCACTGTTTTGATGGGTAAAATGGGTGTGTTTTCATATGAACTTTGCACAAGAAATAGTTTAACAAAGACTTTTAGTTTCACAGCCATCATTTAGCCAATATTTTTACTGAACCGTATCGAATCGATTTGAAATATAACGTATGGAATCGAAAGAGCACTGTATCCGTATCATTTCGTGGCCTGTGTATCGAGGTATGTATCGTATCGGCCACTTCTTAATGATACCCAGCCCAAGTCTTAACCAAGGTTTTATCAGTCTGCCCTCGGACAGTTGAGGCTACAGATTCAGTGTATTACCACTGTTGTTCCCCATTCAAATAAACTAAATAAAATTAGCTAATCTATAAACTATGTAACTTTCTGGAGGATGTTCTGAAGCTTGATCTCTCCATGGCTATGTTATTGCTGTGCCTGAAAGACCTGTTTCTCAGTGCGGCATTAATCTTATCCGTCTCCTTGGACACGAGCAGGTGATGCCAGTAGGCCAAATTTGTAGGTCAGATCTACAGATATAACAATATATCTTTTCTAGTGAAGGGTGCACTACCTGTGTGTCTCTATGGAGATGTTATTTCGTTGCCTTGAATGTCCCACAGTATGACATTAAAGTTATCCACCTTACTTTTATCCAGTTGTTTTACTGGAAAATATATTGTGTATTATGGATTATGAGTGCCAGGTTGCCTCTTCACAGATCCTGTCTATAACTTGGCTTACTGGTGTCACCTGTTTGTCAAATAAGTTTAATGCCTCACCATGAAACAGTACACGCAAAGAAATCATACCTCCATGTACACAAGTATTGTGACTGACCGTCCACCCAAAAAGTTACACAGTTCATCTTTAACTTATACAATCATTATAGTGAAATAAAGTTTTATTCTTTTATTTTTTTTTTTTTACAATGCACTAAAGTTAAGGCCATAGAAGAGGGAGGGAGAGAGACCCAGGACAAAAGAGTAGAGAAATAAAACGTACTGTTTGATCTCCGCGGGATACGCAGGTTTTTACTGCTCAGAAACCGAAGCACATTATAACTTCAACTAATGGAGATTGGACACAGGTTTCATATATTTATTTGTGCCAATCCATTTTCCTTACTTTGCACACTGGCCTATGATTGTTCACACTTTTCTCTTTCAAATGCTTTGCTGAAAAAATCACTTAATCCCACTGCCTTTGTCCAAAAGTTTGCCGTAAGTGGCTATCTCTGTGTGTGACCATGTCTCTATCTCCAATGCCCTCATCTTTCCCTTTTCGTCTAATTGATAGCACTCAGAGAAACATTTTTTTCCAAATAAAAGTCTCTAAAAATAATAAAAACTAGTCTTTTCTCATACTGTATGTGGCGGCGTCTTTGTCTGGCTTACCTCCCGGGCTTTGATCATGGCAGCGTGTGACTATGTTTGATTCCTGAGGTACTTTGACAGGTTTCTGGACGGTAAATGGTCCGTCCGTCTGTGAAGGTAGATCTGAAGAGACAGCAGACGTCCAGCTGAGACAGGATCAGAGAAGAGACAAACTTTAGTGAAAGCCATTGTGAGGGACAGAGCAGCACCTGGCGCCCGTAACTCTATGTCTGATATGTGTTGCCATTTTGGGGTGATTACAATTATGGTGGATCATTTTGTTTTTAAGATGTTCACATCAAATAAAAACTCTGCACATCCTGGTTTTCTAATCTAAACTCATTCGTTAAAACAGTGTAACACAACCTCCTCATTGTTTAATCTTTACATAGATAAGAAACTTTAAAAGGACCTAATGTCTTGAAAGCTAATAGGGACCATGCAGAGACTAAACCAGGATTAAATGGTGACATCTAAGGACAACTCTACAAAACCAAGACAATCCTAGAGAAAACATCCTAATCATGACTAAGATTTAAGTAGGAATAAAACAATAGTTGGGCTGCATTGCATTGTTTTATTTTTTTCATATAGTGTTTCTAGAAATAAACACATAAGCTTAGGTTCCTTACCATTTAGTGTAAATTTGTGCTATTTTTAGTGGTGTTTTTTTTTTAACATGTGTATAAAAATATGTTCACCAGAATGTTATCCTCCAGTGTTAAAAGAATACACTGTTGAAGTAATGAAATGCATATGATTGTTAAGCTACACTGTTAGATCAACAATTATTATAATTTTCGTTTGAAGTGGCTTATGCACAAAAAATGATGTAGATTATTTTATGAAACTGTTCTCACTGTTACCCTGTAGGCGTGGCGATGGTGCCCTCTAGTGTTCATTAATGAGAACAGCAGATGAGAGACAGAATGGAGGGCGTCGATCAAACTGGGGAACTGTTCATAAAGGACAGTAAAATCTGGATTTCAAAGAGGGAATAAAAATACAATATAGATCAGAATCAGAGAAATTAAAAAAATCAAAAATTTAAATAAAGATAATAAATAAAGAGAGATTAGCAGATCTTCTCGTGATGTTACGTATCAGAGACTATGAAATAATTAAAGAACTGAATGAAATAATTTAATCAACTAAATGAATATGCAGATTTACCAGGTGAACTCGATATGACTCTGACTGCAGCGCCACGGTCCAGGTTTATGACTAACTTGATAAAAATGAACATGAGATGAAGCACATGTCCAAACCTCCAGGTCCCAACAGCGCCCTCTGGTGTGCGCTGAGTGAACCAGGGCAGACATCGTTAATCGATCGCAGATACCTTATAAACCTTCTTCTCTGAGCGTTTGCTGCTGAACTCTTCATTTGCTGCGTCTCTGTTTGTTCCGCTCGGTGCTTGGAGCCATGGCCACATCAGTGAAACTCAACACCGGAGCTCAAATGCCCATTTTGGGACTAGGAACGTGGAAGGTGCGTGTTTAGAACCACATTTACTTTGTAGATTCATGTTTATCGGACAGGGGCAAGCGCGCGAATCATCCAAACTAGCATAACTTTGAGTATAGCAGCTGCGCAGTTATGCAACTCGAGACATGCTTGACAAGCCGAGTTTTTTTTTTTTTTTTTTTTTTTTTTTTTTTATTCATTGCAGCTTTGCCATATAACAGATTAGTTTCCTGGCTTGTAATTTCACGGAGTTGTCTTGCAGTAGTTGTTTCATAGATCTTCAGTCTCAGGACACAGGATGATCTGAAAGAATGACTGACAGGCTGCACAGTATTTCTATTTTTATTTTTTTGTGTATGGGGGGGGTTGACTAAGGACACTAACAATGACACTTGACACTTTTAGTCTACTTCATGTAAAATTTTGATTCACTGAATGCAATAACAGGTTGTTACAAACCACTGAAACACTATTTTCATTAGATCAGCAACACAGATTGTTTTAAACCATATTTAGATTTAAAACTGGTTAGACGGGTGTCAAAAAAGGTGTGGTGTTGCTTTTCACTCAATATATGCTTGAAAGTTACTGTATTAGGCTCCTTGATGACCTGTGTAGCCTATAATGTAACAAAATAATTTGTAAAATGAAAATAATAGTCATCAATTTGTTAAAACTTAAATGTAAAAGAACATAGTTTCCTAGATCAGCAACTTTTTCAGTTATATGATCCCTCTGTCTTTCCAAATGGTTATTTATAACATGTTTATTTTCAGTCTCCCCCAGGAAAGGTGACAGAGGCAGTGAAAGTCGCCATCGCCGCTGGATACAGACACATCGATGGTGCGTTCATTTACGAGAACGAGAAGGAGGTGGGAGAGGGAATCCACGCCATGATCAAGGATGGTGTGGTCAAGAGAGAGGATCTTTTCATTGTCAGCAAGGTAAGGAAATACATAGTGTAATCATTTTAATTCTATGCAAATTCAATTTTTACCTATCCAGGTCTGAAAACACTGAACAATATTAGTAGGTCAAGTTGAATAAAGAACAAAAAAATAATAATTTTGCTTTGAGTGTAATCATTTAAATAAATATTAAAGGCAATCCCAAACAGGACTGCAACTGACTAACTGAGAGATTAACTGACTAATCATGACTAGTCGATTATATAAAGTTATCGTAGTCGTAATTTAATCATCATAAACGTTATCTGGACCATATACACTCTATAATGCATACAAAATGACCTTTTTAAAGCAAGGCAGTGGCGTTATTTAATCAAAATGTCAATAGATTTCAAATTTTCATCAACAATAATACATTTTACTCATACATATTCTTTATCTAGTAGTCTTCAGTCACACTATTCTATCTTTTCTTTGGTTGATAATATATTTATAAAGTTTCAGTGCATAATAGAAGTATTCGTTTGACTCAAAATGAATTGACTAAAAAAAATAAATGTTACAGGCCTAATGACACTTTTTTCTGTTTTCTAGCTGTGGAGTACATTCCATGAGAAGCCACGTGTGCGACAAGGCTGTGACAAGACTCTTAGTGACCTAAAACTGGATTACCTTGACCTCTATTTAATTCACTGGCCACTGGGATTCAAGGTCAATATTTATACTTTAATAATATGGAGATCTATATGTTCAGTTGCCTTTGTATTGTTCTAATGGGCCTTTTTTTATCATGTTCTTTAGTCTGGTGATGTTAACTTCCCATTAGATGAAGCCGGCCTGGTCATTCCTGATAACTCCAACTTCTTAGAAACCTGGGAGGTAGGTTAATAATAAGAATTGTAAAAAAAAATAATTATGCATAAAACTTGTATATTCCTTTACTCTACGTGCAGGCTATGGAGGAGCTTGTTGATGCTGGGTTGGTCAAAGCTATAGGAATCTCTAACTTCAACAAGGATCAAATTGAAGCCATTTTGAACAAACCAGGACTCAAGTACAAGCCTGCAAACAACCAGGTGAGCTTAAGGAGGTTTAGATACCACGTGATAATTGTAATATTAACTACTAAGTACATTGTATGCTGCACTGTTGCAATATACAACTGCATGGGAAACTGCTGAGTCATCCAGCTATCCGTTCAGTTAAAGCACCAAACACAAGATAAAACCAGATTCCAAGAACAGCAATAAGACTATAATGACATTATCTGTCCTCCCTCATCAAGTCACAGAAGTAAATGCCCTGTTTTTTATGTAATAGGGCCTCAGCAGTCTCCCTCAGGCTACAGTCATTAGCTGAGTTGACCTTATATTTCTGTTTTCTGAAGCCATTTGTCACAATCAGTGTCCTGACTGTTCTGGTTGTACATTATAGTTCCATGTCTTATGTCCCTATAGCTTTTACAGGTGTATAGAACACAAGAAACTAACTGTAAATGTCATTTAAAGTGCTAAACTAATGAAATTATGATTTATAAAAAATATTTAAAAGGTTGCACTTGCAACAGAGCAGAGTTGGCACAGAGGCATGTAAAAATAAAATAAAGTAAAGCTGCACAATATGTGTTGTCATTCTGCTAAGTCCAATTTAATGAAGGCAAAAAAAGCTACAACCACAAAGACCAAATGCAAGTAAATACACAAACCTACAATTTAGAATCAATACATGTACTTTACAGCACTTTACCATTAGGGCTGGGTATCATTAAGAAGTTGCCGATACGATACATACCTCGATACAGTGCACTTTTGATTTGATATGATATATTTCAAATCGATTCGATACTGTTCAATAAAAAATAAAGTCTAAATCATGGCTGTGACACTAAAAGTCTTTATTAAACCACTTCTTGTACAAAGTTCATATGAAACACAAACATTTGAATCATCAAAACAGTGAAAATGTCAAATGTGTTGCATAAATGAGTTTCCTTTCAATCCCCAAGCCACAAAACTGTAGCTCTGTAACAAAATTATTTAGTAAAACACACGTAAAAATACTCTTGCTGATATATCGATACAGTAGTCCACGATATCAATACTGTATCATCACATTAAATGATATGATATATTGATATTTCAATATTTCTGCACACCCCTACCTTACCATATTAGGTTATGAAGCATCTTATTGAAAGTACATAACCATTTTTGTCTGCTATACTTCTAAAGTGTAGTAAAACATTATACACAGTAATGCACAATCAAAATCTTGCTCCTGATACACACTTGAAGTTGTTGTTTGTTGCCACTAGGTGGAATGTCATCCGTACTTGAATCAACAGAAGCTGATTGACTACTGCCACTCAAAGGGCATCTCTGTGACGGCCTACAGCCCCCTGGGCTCCCCCGACAGACCCTGGTTAGTAACTGTTCAACTGTTTATAAGCTGTTTTAGTTTTGTGTTTATAAGTAGGTCAAATCCCCCTAAACGCGCCTTAATTTGCACTTAGTCCTTTAGTCAGATACTTGTGACTTTTGTTCCTCTTTGTGTTTGGTGGTGTGCATCATGTTTTGTAATCATTTGGGAGTTGAGTAATTTTGTGCTCTGTTTTGTGGCTGGATTTTTCTATTCTTCTTGAAATATGTTTGCATAATTTTTTTATTTATTTTTTATCAATGAAGAAGCTTGTGCCAAAGAGTAAATGCATCTTGTCATTTTCATAGGGCTAAGCCAGAGGACCCCTCTCTACTGGAGGACCCTAACATTAAAGCCATCGCAGAGAAGCACAAGAAAACATCGGCTCAGGTACAAGCTAAAACATGGTTTATGTGATTTCACAATACACTTTACATTACATTATAGTTTGACATGTCTGCTCGTGTCAGGTCCTGATCCGCTTCCACATCCAGAGAAATGTCATTGTTATTCCGAAGTCAATCACTCCTCAGAGGATCCAGGAGAATTTTCAAGTGAGTAGCAAATATTGAAGTATTTTAAAGGTGCATTATGTAAATTTTCCAGTGGGGAGGTCTATCACTTGCTTGTCTTCATGGAGATGTTACTCCTTTGCTTGAGATTTAGTATGGTTTTAACCTGATCTAACTAGTATTTATTCAATTATAGGTCTTTTTATAGCTCCGAAATACTTGAAAAACATGTATTATTACTGCGAGTGTGGACTCTTCTCCACAGATCTGACAGGTAGCACTTTGTCTGGTGATGCCTCTTGCTTGTCTCCATGAAGATATCAGTTTAATACCATATTGCGAAACATACTTGGCCAAGAAATAACATTTTCATGGAGTCTTGCAGGAGGCATTAATCCCACCCCACCCTCCCCAAACCAGAAAAATCACACATTGCACCTTTTAAAATATTTTATATCGTTCTACCATTAAATTTGTTGGATATAATGAGAGACTAGAATAGTTTGATCTATGACTTATTTTTGTTTGTGTTTTTGAAGGTGTTTGACTTTGAACTGAGTGAGGAAGAAATGAAGACCATCCTGGGATTTAACCGCAACTGGAGAGTGTGTGGGATGCAATGGTGAGAGTCGAGCCTTGTGCAGTTCATGATGTGATATGTTACTTGATCTTTCATATATTAATATCAAATTTCTCTTTTTAGGGGCATAAAACACAAGGATTTTCCATTTAATGCTGAATTCTGAAACACCACCTGTTGGCTGTTACATTTCAAGATGCTTTTTTTAGTTTTACTGTTAAGACTACGTTATTAAGTTCACTCCTGCAGAAGAAAAAAAAAGAAAAACTGAAATTGTTGTTTTAATATTTGTTATCAAAAACTTTTAAGGTATTTTTTATCTATGTTTATTTGAAATGTGTGAAATCTGCATTCATCTGCATTTACAAAAGTTTACTGAAAAGAAATTGTCTGTTTATTTGGAAAACAAAATATATATAAATATATATAGTTACATTATCAGTTACTGTTCTGATTTCTGTTAAACATGTAAACTTACAGGCTATGTACTTGTGATTGCCTGGAGTTGGCCAAGCACTTCCTTTTGTCATATGATAGTCATGTTTGTTGTATGTTCGAAGTCATGTGTTGCTGTGTGCCTGGGAATAAAATGCGGCTTTCACTTCTCATTCTCTGTTAAGTCTTTTTTTTTTTTTTTTTTTTTGCTTAATTCTTGTTATATCAGTTTATCTTTGATGTAGCTTTACTGCTGCAGAACTATCCCAAGAGTGGCCACTAGAGGTCGGAATGGTCTAAATACTTTATAGAATACTAGTCAAGAGTTTAGACACACTTTTTCATATATTTTTCTTCTTTATTTCAAGGATTATTTGTATTGTAGATTCTCAATGAAAGCATCCAACCTAAATGGACACATATGGAATGTAATAAACAAAAAACATTAACTTAGAATTACACAGAACTTGTTTTAAATTTTATATTTTTTTAATTTTTTTTAAACTTTTGCTTTGACCACTACTTTACACTTTCGACATTTCTTGACCCTGACAGTGCACAGCTGTGAAGTGAACACCATTTCATGTGAATTCATCATGAGGCTCATTGAGAGAAAGCCAAATGTTTACAATGATGTCTACAAAGCAAAAGTTGGCTACTTTGAGGGCTTTCCTCTTGGAGACAATAAAGTCTGATCATAAAGATACCTGGAGTTAGTTTTGTCTCATTCACACGTTTGAATAACCCTGGATTATTAGACTGTCTGCATCCTCAAATCTCAAAATGCGTTGTTCCACCTTGTGATGTCATGTCGAGGTAGTTTTCAAGTTAACATCTACATTTTACATTTAGTTCAATAGAGATTGGCAATTCCAGGGTTGAAATTATACAAATGATTCTTGTGTAGGTATATGGAGTTTAAAAACACAGTGGAGCTCCTTCTGTATTACCACATGACATCACAAGGTGGAACACAGTGTTTTCTGTCTGAGAGAAGGACTCAGCCTAAATATGCAGGATTTATGTGTTAAATATATGTGAATGAAACAAAACACAACTCCAGGCATGCTTGTGATGAGGAAACAACATTATAACACAGAACAGAAAATGCTCTAATATAGGATGTTTAAACTAATAAAATGCATAGAACAAAAGAGAATATATGTATTATGTCAGTTTATTCTTGCTTCCTTAATCCAACCTTTATTCATTTTTAATTTAAATTTTAAGTACAACTGTAGACACGACATGATGATTAGTATTCTGTATTGAAGGGGTAGTCTTTGTGCTTCAGGCCCCTGTGGAGAAAAACATGCAGGGTCATGACCTTTATTCATGCCCACTGTAGCCTGCAGCCTGTCTGACTGGCTGCAAGTGAAAGCAACTTTAAAATCCTATTGTGCGTGGACAGATCACCGCCCACATCCCGTATTTGTGACTTATTCCTAAAGTTGCCGTGGGTGCTGTCATCTCCATTTGGAAGTATAATAGGATCTTATTATAGAGCCAAAAAATACAGGCTACAAAGGTGTCGTAAAGCCTCCCAGAGAATCGGTGCAGTGTTTGCTTCTCGGTGAGCATGATCTTTATACATTTTGCACAGATCAGCCTACACTGAAAAAGGTAAACATCTGTGCAGTTGATAATGAAGTACGTTTTTAAAATAGGTTTAATGAAGTTAAAATATTTTACATTTTGAAAGTACGCTGCATACAAGTAATTCACAAAGTTATATTGATACTATGATGATTGTACTTCACCATATATCATATTTTATTGGTGAAAATTGGTGAAATGAATTGGCTTACCCGCTTTATTGCAAAAAATGGGTGGGGGTGAAATAAAATTGATATAAAAACTCCAGATCATATAGATAATTAGATTAGATTTATTCAGGGCCTCATTTTTATATGGCACACCTCTTGTTCAGAATGCGATGTTCCTCAATGACAACACAGGATATATTATTGCAGACTCATGTAAAAACAGACAAACAAAAGGTCTATAAACATAAGTGCAGAATAGGCCGTGTCTTGATTCTTCGCCTCGATTCTGCAGGAAATGGGTGAGAAAGTCCCACCCAGATAACAAGACCCAGGGATGAGAGAGGGTATAAACTCCTCAGTGAGATGTAAAGTAAAGTTAGACTATTTTATATGATTTCTGCCTCCTGAAGCCTCCCTCATGTTTACCTCTGCAAATACAAGGACTGGTTGGAATATTTAAAAAAGTGTCTCCACACATCTCCAACACTCTGGTTAACTAGGAAATGAGGCCCGGTCGATCTGTGGAGAGGCAACCCCGCTCACAGTCAGAATGCCTGTATTTTTGAGCAATAAAACCACCTCTAATTGTAAGGTAGAACTGTTTAATGTCATACTGTGGAGCATTCCAGGCAGCGCAATGACATATCCAGAGAAACAACCAGGTGACGGACCCCCAAACCACCTTTGATACAGATGGGAGGGGCAGCTAAAATTAATTGTTAAAACACATTTATGTTTTCTGTTGTAAATGTCTCATCACTAAAATAAATGATTGGGTTCGACATTTGTGAATTTGGATATTTCATGGCAAAGTAAAAAGTAATGAATAGGAAAAAACTTTCTCCCCATCTGAGAGTACGAAGTCACCACAATCTAAAATCAGAAATAGATGCGAAATAGAAATAATGTTGGGATGTCATCTGAAACCCGGCAACCCCGAGCGTTACCCACCAGTACGGTACTATGCGTCTCCAGTTCTTGTTCAGGCTCAGCAGACTCTTCATGTCCTCATCGCTCAGCTTGAAGTCAAAAATCTGATATAGGGAAACGTACAAAGCCACAGTCAACTTGTGGTATGACAGTGGATATGACAGGTTAGACTCATCATTACATTAAACAGATTTTCATTTTTTAGTTTTTAGTTTTGTTTAAGTTTATAATTTTACTTCTTGGTTGGACACTGGCAGCATGACAAACATAGATGTGTAGCTGTTACTTAGCAACCATATATTAACATATATTAGAGTAATACAAACTTTATTTATCTACAAGCAAAATTGTTTGGACACAGTAGCTCGCATTAGCCTGATTCATGAGCCAGTTTCACTTTGTAGAAATCGTCTGACATCACAGCATTAGAATTCATTCGCTCGATGGTAGGCAGGTACTTTTTTTCATTTAACCAATCGCTGCTATTTTGTCGTGACATATGTAATGTGCCGAAAACGGGGCTAACTGGTATATTAAGCTTTTCCCAAATCCCGTAGGAAGAAGGGCAATAACGTCTTTCCCCTTGATAAAATTCACGGAACATTCTCTTCGTTCTGGCTTTAAATCCTCGATCTCGGGAATCGCTGCCAACACAGAACGTATGGCTCTTTGCTGATTGGCTGGTGCCCGAACTCGCACTTCTGGGGTTTTGCGAGCTGTCTAGTGTATTCCGATTCCCGACCTAGTCGCTGGAGAGAAATGAAATTGAGCGAAGGCACTAGGTGGCGCTAGCCTGGCTAAGCTCACATATCACAATATAATAATAAAGAGTAAAAACATATATAAATGGTAATAATAAATCCAAATAATTAGCAAACAGCAAGAGTCTGGTGTTAAATTAGACATAATTATATAAATGAATATGAATACCAACAGCCTTGATTTCAACAGTGAACTCTACTAAAATTTGTATTATTATTTACTGCAGTGCGCCCACTGAGTGCCATTATACAGCCACACTCACCGTGCTGTGAGGACGTGCCCACTGTGGCAGCCCACTAGAGTTGTTTCAAACTCAATTTCAATACTAATGAATAAAGTCAATGGTGATTTCAATACTGAATATTGTAAAGATAACTACTTCTCAACACAAAATTATAGTGCTATCTTGATGTCACCATGTTGTCTTATACTAGCTCTGATGAAGTAAAACAAAATACACATACAAAAATTTAAGTATTAAATAGCCAATCCCATAAAACAATCAAGTGGGACTCAGTAAAGAAAAACTTCACTCTGTCGTTTTCAACTTATTTAAAAATAAAGAACTGAGACTCAAAAGTGAAATCGAAGGCAATTTAAATTTATCTGAAATTTCAATAAATCACAAATCTGGTCATGGTCATCAAAAAAGGACACCTGGTATACGGGAAAAAAAAAAAAAAAAAAAAAGCAATGTATTTTGTAACCGGGGATTTCTGTTTGTTCTGTGTTTGAATCTTGTGAATCCAAAGGTCTAGTTCTTGTCTTCCTTCTCCAGCAAATGGCGCCACTGCTCTGGGCGACGCGGGCGAATTGGTTCTCAGGTTTTCCTCTGTAAAACTCAGTCAAAAGTCAAAAATTCAGAAGTATAGCACAGTTTGAGGAACATTTTTTTTCTTTCTAAATTCTACACACGTTACACATTTTATTCAACATTACAATATTTAAAGATGTACTTTTTATTCGAGCAGCAGAAGATAGATATATCAATAGATAGATAGATAGATAGATAGATAGATAGATAGATAGATAGATAGATAGATAGATAGATAGATAGATCGATCCATGGGAGAGATACCGTGGGATAGTTGTCATGATGATTCCCGCCAGGTGGGCGTGGTCACGTGAGCACAGATGAATGCTGGGTTCTTTTAAAAATGGCGCTCACCTGCCTGACAGGTAAGGGACCTGTCACCTGATGACGTGGCAGCGGGGAGCCGAGCCAACTCATTTTGTTTGTCGACAGTTTCACTAAAGTGACTCTTGATGTTACTTTAAACGCTGTTTTATGTCAGCGGAAGCTCCTCTCACGGCAGCGCGTCGTTTTTGGCAACAAAGAAAGAAAAGACGGTGTGGAAGCGCAGGACTCGCGTGAATCAGAAAAACGCGCCAAAAGTGCAGCGAGACCCGGATCACCATCAGCACGACAAACAGCACGGAGGAGTCCAGGTGAGTCTTACGAGTCCAGGTGAGTCTTGTTTGTGGATACGAAGTGATTCTTGCAATAATAAATTGTTGTTCGTTTGTAAATGTTGGATGAATGAAGCTGCTGCGGGTGCGTAGTTACTCTACGCTCAGATTCACGTTTATGCAATGTGCAAAGTGGATTGAAATAAGTAAAGCGTCGATGTGATGAGTTTCAAATGATAAAGATTCTTTCGTTGAAAGGAAATGAATTTCACTCAGTGGATGTGTTTTAAATGATGGCTCACTGA